GCCCACAGTGATACAAACCACCAACAGACCTGCACAATAACCAGCAACCATGTGACTTACTCACACACAAATGTGAACATTACTGTGATAAAGCAGCACTCTGATGAGTTCATAACAATGAAAGTTTAAGTCTCATTTGACTTCCACTGCAGCCAACATCAGTATAGAAGAGACAAAGACAAGCTTGATTTTCACATATATAACAATTTGTTTTATTAATTTATGTGAAAAAAAAAAAAACGGCAACAAAATTGTTCCTGTTTCCATGCAATGGAATAGAAAATAAAGTCTTATAACGTCACTATAACTTATATGTCTTCACAAATAGAATTTCGATTTGTAATTTGGCCAAAAAAAACTTGTTATTTGCCATTTTTTTCCATCAGTGCATAAATTAGTGACTTTGATATCAAACTTATAGTTTACAGTCCTCTGATGTTGTAGAGATTCTCTATGGAGAGGGATCAGTGTCACATGTTCCCTCTTCAAACTGTAGTGGGAGGTCTATGCAAACTCTTCCTCTCTTATAAAAACATCAGCAACTTGTGGCAGAACACCGTGACAGTTTTATACATTTCTGAAACACTCAGACAAGAAATAATCTGAACTACAGTATTTATCCCAGAATGGAAAATACAATAATTTGGACTTTATTTTTTGTAGTTACTATTCAAGGTGAGAGAAACAAATCAGCTTCACTGCTTTTGTAAATGTCTGACCTGTGATATATACTGTACGTGTGATGGATGATGATCACAATGTCTTTACTTACAGGAGTTTGGAGTGAGATCAAACTGGACCAGTCTCCCTCTGAGGTGAAAAGACCTGGAGAGACAGTGAAGATGTCATGTATCATATCTGGTTATAGCATGACAAGCTACAACATTCACTGGATACGACAGAGGCCAGGGAATGCTCTGGAGTGGATTGGGAGGATGAACACAGGCAGCAACTCTGCTAGCTATGGCAGCTCCTTTCAGAGCCGTTTCATCATGACTGAAGATGAGCCCAGCAGCACTCAGTACCTCGAGGTCACGAGCCTGAGAGCAGAAGATTCTGCTGTTTACTTCTGTGCTCGAGAAGACACAGTGACTGAAGACAGTGGAGCAGCTGCACAAAAACATCCACTGACAACTAACAGCAAAGTGAACTTAATAAAAAATACATTTTCTCACCACCTGTAAAAGTACTTTGATATATATTCACATTAGAGATCTATACATATTTTACTGTAAACTCATAAGTAAATATTTATTCTCCTCATGATGTTACAGCACTCACAGTTATAGAAAGAATGGAGTTCTCTCATTTGTTAAAGCGAAGTGGATCAAAACATAATTAGAAAAGTTAAATGTCCACAAACAGAAATATGTTCACAACATTGGTAAATTGTAAATCACAGTGAGATGATAATGAAGCACTTTTCATAGATGCCAGTGGATGTTGGTGATCAGACTAAAACTGTAGATTATTAATATTATTGTAGAAGTTCTTATGTGCTGCTCATTATGCTCAAAGTGACGGGTTAGAAACCTTGATACCAAGATAAATTAACACATTTAAATAAACCTTATATGTTAATGGGGCAGATCACTGAAGTAAAATTTACATTTTCGTATGATTAGAATGATTATGGATGTAGTGTTACTGATGATAAACCATGTCAGACAGACATGAAAACAGCTGACTTGGAGGACTGACTCATTCATTAAATAATCCAGTTGTCTCCTCCCTGTGAGGAGGAG